TGCTGAAATCTGCTGAACGACTGCTGTAATCTGCTGAACGACTGCTGTAATCTGCTGAACGACTGCTGTAATCTGCTGAACGACTGCTGTAATCTGAATGACAGCTTAACTGGACAGATTAACTTAATTTAGACAGGTCTAAGTAAAGTGCAACAATCTGCAGAAATCTGCCGAAGAAGCTGAAACTGAAGTTTTACAATGAACAGAACAAAAGCTAAAATTAACCAGCGTATCTTAAAGCTATAATTATTTGAACAGTAGCTAAAAACTAAAACTAGCAAAACAGCTAAAAATGAAGCAGGTGTGCTGAAGTAGATTTTGAAAAGCAGAAACTTTTTCAAGGTTCTGAAGGAATCAGATCATCTCTAAGAAAAAAAATGGGAAAAATTAATAATTTCAAAAGCACAAAAATTACAAAGTGAGTTAATGCTGACTCAGCAGTAATCTGACATTAATGCTGACTCAGCAGTAATCTGACATTAATGCTGACTCAGCAGGAATCTGGTTTAATGCTGACTCAGCAGGAATCTGTAGCGCCCACTTTCTGTCCGAGTTTTAAAGCGGGTGATTTTAGTTAAAGTTAAAATAAATCACGATTCTCTGAGGATGAACTTAATTATTTTTTTAATCAGCCGAACTACCAGTAGATAAAAAAATTAATTTTTCTGTTTTGACCCGTTCCTGTTCATCCGTCTGCAGCGTTAGTAAAATATCTCGACAGATTTAACTGAAACTGTCAGAATATAATTTTTGAATGTACGTCCACACCTGAGAGTTAACCTAATTCAAGATGGCCGTCACAGCTAACCAGTGTTAGAAAAAAAATGGCTTCAGTTCAAATATGAAGCGAACATCTGGTGTGGTGGTAGCTGACCATCGCTCTCAACACACACTGAGCACGTCTGCCTGTTAGACCAGACCAGATTAGACCAGATCAGATTAGACCAGATCAGGTTAGACAAGGCCAGATTAGACCAGATCAAACCAGATTAGAACAGATCAGATTAGACCAAACCAGGTTAGACCAGATTACATTAGACCGGGGCAGATTAGACCAGATCAAACCAGATTAGATTAGACCAGAACAGATTAGACCAGGGCAGATTAGACCAGATCAGACAGACCAGATTAGACCAAATTAGATTGAATCAGATTAGATTAGACCAGATTAGAACAGACCAGGTTAGACAAGATTACATTAGACCAGGCCAGATTAGACCAGATCAAACCAGATTAGATTAGACCAGATCAGATTAGACCAGACCAAGTTAGACCAGATTACATTAGACCAGGCCAGATTAGACCAGGGCAGATTAGACCAGATCAGACAGACCAAATTAGATTGAATCAGATTAGTTTAGACCTGATGTTGATGAAGATTTGGATCTTTTTCCAGAACTCCCTCCATCAGTAAAATCGTCAGAGAACTGATTTATACTAAAACTGTCCGTCTGAGCTGGTTCTGACCCGGCCCAGATCCACCTGGTTCTGACGGACCAGAAACCCGTGAGACCGGTTAGTCTGAAACCCATCCCGGTATGTGACTCCTGGAGCCGGTACCTGAACCCGGTCCCACCTGTTGTTCCGATGTCCATTCATGGACAGTCCCGGTCCGGACGACCCGCTGACCCGGCTCGGTGAGGAGGACCCGGGCCGGTCCGGATCCTGGCTGGAGGTCCTGTCCCTGAGCGACAGCTCGGAGTTCAACTAAATCTTCCCACGTCCGGAGTTTCTACTAAAACACGAAACAACAGAAACAGAACCCTTCAGAACTTCAGTGAGGACGTTAGAGACGGTTCAGAGCGGCGGTCGGAACCGAACCGGCGGAATGAACCGAACTAATCGTGTTTCCCTCCGAGCAGCTGTTGGTGTCAGCGAACAGTTACTAGCTTTAATGCTAACACCTGACAGCGCGAGACCGACCGGACATTTACCGAACAACGAGCTGGACCCGTGGTTCCGTTCGGTTGACGCGACAGTCCGGAGATGTTCGGTATCGAATGGATGTTAGGACTTCATGAGTCCGGCGAACTCCAGTAAAAAACCGGTCCGAAACCCGCTCAGACAGGGAGAAACCGGAAACAGACACTATACTTCCGGAACGCTCCTTCAGAATAAAAGTTCCTTTCTAAATCTTAGATGAAAAGGGAAGATTGGAATTATAATGAATGTAAAAGACAACAACGGTGTCACATAATAAAACTAAATTACTAAAGTAGACACAACTCTTAAAATGAAATACGATCAGTTCTACAACAGTTGCAGCCCATAAAGTGAAACAGTCGACAATAAATCAGTTCGGTTGATTTCTGTAGCTCCAAGTGAAAACAGCTCGTCTCAGGACTCTGAACAGAAACATCCACAGACTTTATAAAAGACAATCAGTAAAAGTTCTCTATCTAAGGAAGAAGCAAATCGTGTTGAATCTTCACTTTGCCCTAGTCTCCCATCCTGAGCAAGCACAAAGGAGACAGTGGGAAGGAAAAACTCCCTTTAGCAGGAACAAACCTCCAGCAGAACCAGACTCAGGACGAGAGGCCGTCTGCTTCCACCGGCTGGGTCTGAGAGGACAGGAAGTAGAAACAGAGAGGACAGGAAGTAGAGACAGAGAGGACAGGAAGTAGAAACAGAGAGGACAGGAAGTAGAGACA